AAGCTCCTCAGCACACCCTGAATCTGATTCCGCCGAGCCGCCTGGTGCTGCACAGCATGGGCCTCCACCCAGAAATCTGATACCTTCTCTCTTCGTCACTCTTCATCAGCAAAAGATAATTTGGGGGATGCGTACCAAAAAAGCACAAACCAGCAAAGAAGACCGAAACCTACGGACATCTTGTTTTGACATGGGGTTGCAAAGTGATCTCTGCTGCTCTAGACGAGGAGGACATTCCACGCATCCCCCAGGCCTCAACCCTAACCTACCGCACAACTCGCCGAGCAGCACAGGTGTCCGTGCAACACGTGCAGCGAGTGAGTTGGTGTAGCCGTCCGTCACCTCAAAGTTCAGGGCCCGGTTTCACACACAAGCAGTACAATGCTTGAAGGTTGCTTGCGTAGGGAGAGTCTGCAACTGGGCGTGCTTGACGTGTTCTTCAGGAACCGGCTTGCTGCGCTGCAGGGCGACTTGTGTAGCTCCATCGACAAGCGCAGGGGTGGGTCCTCTCGGGTTTTAGGACGCTGATGTCGCACCGACGAGCTTGGTCAAGAGCGGGTCCATCTCCTACAGATCGATCTATGACATCCATGCGACCTCAAGAGCGCGAGGGACTCCACGCAATCTGCTCAGCAATGATGAGGCAACAACGAAAACCCTTCGAATGCCAACAATGAAGGAAGTCTGCAACCTTGAGGCTGCCGATCCCTTCCTTCGCAATCCCCACGAAGCAAGATCCCGAAATGAACCTCATAAGGACCACACCCTGGGAACCCCGAAGCCAGGGCCACACAAACCTGGACTTCGCCAAACCCCCAATCGTCAAGAAGACCCGAAAGACCAAGGAACCCACGACCTCCAGCCTCAACCCTGGAAACCCTGGAAACCCTGGAAACCCTGGAAACCCTGGAAACCCTGGAATCCCTGGAATCCCTGGAAACCCTGGAAAACCCCTGGAAACCCTAAACCCTAAAGGGTTTAGGGTTTAGGGTTTAGAGTCGACTCGAGCCCATGGAGACTCGGCCTCGGGGGGAAACAGCGCCGCCTTCACTCCTAGGAACGCGCCCATCTTCGCCAAGGCAGCGGTCAAGTTGATCGCAAGATCCTTTCCGGGGCACCCCTAAAGCCCTAAAGGGTTTAGGGTTTAGGGGCCCTAAACCCTAAACCCCAACTCCATACAGCGACTGTTCTCTTAGGGTTTCCGGTCATTGAACTCCTGAAACCCCTCTCAGAGGTTAGCTTAATCATCTACAAACCCTAAACCCTAACCCCTAAACCCTGAACCCGAAACCGTATTCCTACACTCATGAGGTTTTGCTCATCTGCAGGGCTTTCTCGCAAGGGCGATAAAGCATGTTCGATGATTCTCCGCTTTAACGATGGGGGTTTGACCTACATCATGAATGACTAGATGGAAATCCTCGGGCTTTAGGTTTTAGAGGGTGGTTGGGAGCTCGGCAACACACCTCGCCACACTACTGGGTTTAGGGTTTAGGGTTTAGGGACCTCGACACACTACCGAGCCGTCCTCTGACTTCAAAAACATGAGGCTCGCAGAGACATCCTTCAGATTCTTGATCTGGTCGAACCACTGCCCGGTGATCTTGTTGGCCCGGGGTGCCCAGGCCTCTTTCTTGCCGTCCGCCAACACTAACTCGTCGAACAGCTCCGGGCTGCGGACGTGAATCTTCCTGAAGTGGCGGAAAAAAACGCACAGAGCAGGCGAAACCTCAAGCCTCAACCGTCTCGTCTCAAACCCACGACGAGCAAAACACTCCTGATACTTCATTCCCGAGGCTCGGCTGTCTGTAGGGGGGGTTCAGAAAATCTGTGTGCCTACATAAGAATGATCCTATGTTTACTCCCCTATGCCCAAATCCCTGAACCCAAACCTCAACCCTTAACCCTGAGTCCAAAACCCTGACCCTGCAATCCGTACAGCACCCAACAGTTCCGAGACCACAGAGCTCAAGACCGAGCCAACCTGTCGTGGTCATGACTTACATTCAAAGTCTAAAGTTCCGGATTCAGTTCGGGCCTGCAGAGCATTCATTTGGGCTCTCAGTGCGGGGTTCGGGCTTAGTGCACACGGCGCCTCTCTTGTGTGCGTCCAAGGGGCGCATCCGTGCTGCCATCCTGGCTGCCGCCCTTCGGCTCACCTGGCAGCTTCCTGGGTTGCAAGGCACGCAACTGTCTCCTAACTTGAATCTCGAAACCCAGACTCCGCCAATGAAAGGCCCAAACATCACAACACTACATAGGCCAGCGTCCAGATGTTGTAGGCTGCCCATAAGAAGTCTGCCGGCTCACGCACCATCAAGAGCAGCTTGACTTTGCCCGGCCAGCGTGATGCAAGCATCTGTCAGGGATGTCGCTTTGGGTTTCGGCTGGTTTCGGGTTCAGTCATGAAAAGCTTGCCACTACTGATAGCTTTCCAGAACTAGCCACACTCTGGTCAAAGAAGGAGGGGTCCGTGACGACCAGTGTCGCTGGCATGGACGTGTTGTACCAGCCCCTTATCTTCTTCACGAGACGATCGCACTCCGTGAAGGTCGGCAGTTTGAATTCAAACTCGTCGCAGACCTGGATCAAGGGACGACCCGTAGGCACTTGGAGGGCTTTCGCCAGAGCGAAGATTGACTCCTCAAACTCGGTTTGCAGATTGGGCATCGCACCCACCTGAATTGAAAGGGTGACAATGTTGGGATGCGATTCCAGAAGGCTGTAGATCCGTTTTGTGCCACAGGTCCGAAATCCTCCGATAACCACCAGATTCGACGGTGCGGAAGAGTTTGTCTCCTTCTTGGGGTCCACGCATTCGTCATGCTCTCCCAGGCAGGCACTGTAGTGAACGCCGAAGGAATCCAA